CGCCATTTTAGATGTGATTAATCTATCTCTGTTACAGGGATATGTACCAAAGGCTTTTAAGGTTGCCAGAATTAAATCTTTGCTTAAGAAACCGTCTCTTGACCCAGATGACTTGGTCAATTATAGACCTATATCCAATCTTCCTTTCTGATCTAAAATCCTTGAGAAACACTTCCACCATAATGAACATTTTGAAGAGTTTCAGTCTGGCTTTAGAGCTCATCATAGCACTGAAACAGCTCTGGTGAAAGTCACTAATGATATTCTCATTGCCTCAGATAATGGACTTGTATCTGTACTTGTCATGTTAGACCTCAGTGCTCCGTTTGATCCAGTTGATCATAATATTCTTTTAGAAAGACTTGAATATTTTGTTCGAATTTAAGGAATAGCACTAGACTGGTTTAAATCTGATCTATCTAATCGATTTCAGTCTTCCTCATGCTCCAGGGTTACCTGTGGAGTGCCACAGGAATTGTAAAGTGCCTTGAGATGAATTGGTGCCATATAAATAAACTGAATTGAATTAGAAGGAGTGTCAGCGTCTCCTGGTGGATTATCACAAGACCACATCTATGCCCCGTCTTGTGGGGTTGGGAGATGTAATCAAAGGCAAATAGGGTTGAATGCTTGAGCTGAGAGCAGTCATTAGGTATTTTCCAGGTTGTTGTCAGGCAAAGAAGGACAAATTTATATGGGGAAATCTTCAATGATAAAAGTCCCTTAAGATTAGATTAGATTAGATTAGATTAGATTAGATTAGATGAGCTTTACTGATCTCACAGCAGAGGAATTCACTCGTCACGTATTGGCATAGAAGTTACAGAAGGTGCAAACAAGGAGGAAAAAGGTGCATTAAGAATAAGCAATATGTATACAGTATATCCAGGTATATACAGCATATTAAGATAAATAAGGATTAAGGTGCAAGTGTACATGTATCGCGCATAATGAAAAACAAAATAAAAATAAGAAATAAAAAAATAAGAAATTAAAATATGTACAATCCGTATGGCTTATATACAGGTGGATTTACTTTTACGTTAAAGTGTAGTAGGTGAGGTAGTGGTATGACTATTCTATTCACATAATTGTGAGTGAGTGGAGTTTGGGAAGTCCAAAGTTAACAATGATGATGAAGTGGTTGACTGGTGGAGTAACTAACCCAGCTAGAAGAGGACCACAAAGATTTGATGAACTTTTAGTGATCAAAGTGGAAATCATGGTGGGATCTACGATGGATGTATCTTTGGTTTAGTAGAAAGGCAATTACGAGGTGGTGTTGTAGATTTGTTGGTGGCGGCTCAGACAACTAGGAACGGATCCAGTCGAGCTCAGCAACTATGTATTGTAGAAGACCTGATCCCGAAGTGACAATAAGTAAGTCAAATTGATTCAATTTAGATTGAATCAATTTGACTGTTTTAAATCAATTTGACTGTATGATCTGGTTGAACTGTAAAGTGCCTTGAGATGACTTGTGTTGTGAATTGGCGCTATATAAATAAACTTAATTGAATTTTCAATTCAATTCAATTGAATTAAAGGATTAGAGACCAGCTGTTGACTTGCAAAAAAAGAAGGTCTAACCCCTCACTGGCAGCTGTGTGGCCTCTGAACCCCACTCCAAGCCTCCCTGCTGCTGCGTGTCTGGTGACAGCATCATGCTGGGTTAGCGTTAACGATATCACCAGTGTGACAAAAATCAGGAAAGTAAACAATAGAGAGCAAAATGGAAGGAAGCCAGGGTGTAGTTAGTGTGCTTTATTGAATCTCTCTATTATCTGTCTGAATCCTTCTCACCAGAGCTGCTCTATGTTTATCCAATGGAAACAGAGTTGATTCTGCTTGTTAGATCAGAGGCGACTGGCACGGTGTGTTGATGTCCGTATGTGCATTTAATGGTGTCACGTAATTTGGCGGGTCAACCCGGCTCTGGTGTTCCCACACTAACTCGACCAGAGCCGAGGTGATTTTAATGCATTTCACTTTGCAAGTCGTTTGACCCGGGAAGACAGTTCAGTGAGCTTATTCCACTGCCCCTAAAAGCCAATTGTTGCCAGATTTTAACTTTTTTTGTTCTTTTTTTGCCACTGGGAAAGGGGTATCAAAGTCGGGAATAAACTTAAAACAGAATCTGCAGAATATGTATCTGTAAGCAGTCAATCACTATTTACCCTATGTATAGTGAGAAAACAATCCAAACCACCTCTGGTAAGGAATGTATAAACTTCAGCTTTCAACTACTACTACACAGCTCCATATCTATTATGGAGCTAAGCACCATCGGTGTAGTAGTCCTAAATTGTCAAATAACTTTTGATGGCAATGGTATCAGCTCTTATAAAAATACATTTTACAATATCAACTTAACCATTCAAAAGTCAGAGGAAACAAAATTTTGATTAAATTAGATTGAAAAACTTAATAAAGCATTTCAATAGTTAATAGAAAGGTTAGATCAGAATTAAAGTGTAAACACAACTTTGACATCAGAAACATGAGCACTGAACAACATAAAGTCTGACCTCAATATCTGTAGTCTGCAGAGTGGAGTCTGTAGAACACTACAGAGATTCTTTACTGCGTCATCTGTCAGGTTGGTGATACTCAGGTCCAGTTCTGTCAAATGGGGTGGGTGGTGCCTCAAAAAACAGACCAAAATAGTGTGCCTCTCTGTCAAACTAAAGTTAACAAATCTGAAAAAAAAGAGGCACATGTGAGTTAAAGCCAACAGAATGCAGGATAAAACAGTTAAACAGAACTTTGTCCTCCAGAAAGCCATAATCATAGACATGTGACTGCCCACAGTCACATGGACATCCTGCCCTCCTCTGACATTCACTCTCCTGCTTCTATTATCAGCCAGATCAGAAGATGGTGCTGCTCCCCCCACCTTCCACCTGTCTGTCTCTAGAAGTCAGTAAAAACACAACTGGAGAGACTGGATGGTAATCGGTCAGCAGGTCCTGATGGTGTCAGAGTCCTGAAGCCCTGAGCAGAGCAGATCTTTGGGATTCTACAGCACCTCTTTCCACTTAGTCTGACCCTGGAGACAGTTCCAGAGATGTGGAAGACCTCCTGCCTTGTTCTAGGACTAAAGAAGACTCTGCCAGCAGACCTCTATGACTATTGACCTGCTGTCCTGATGACCACATCATGAAGGTCATATGAAAACTTCTATTGGTTCATCTCAGCAAAAACAGGACCCCCTGCATTTTGCTTATCGCAGTGAAGATGGAGTTGATCATGCCATCGTACACCTGCTATAACAAATCCATTTTCATTTAGACAAGGCAGGCAACACTGTGAGGAACATGGTCTTTGAATTCTCCAGATTCAGCGTGACTGATTTTGAGAGAAACTCCAGCAGACTCAGATGGAGGCATCAACAACCACCTGGATCAAAGACTACCTGACAGACAGACCACAGGTTGTGTTGTGTATTAATCTGCACCAATGATTAGAATAAAATAAAGTTTAAAGTTGTTTTCACAAATACTTTTGTAAAACAGACATTCAAGGCCAAAATGAGAAAAGCAGAGCAGTGTGTGTGTGTAACTCTGCACCTGGCCCTGGAAGTTTGGGATCTGCAGGAGAATGCAGGGTACAGGCCTTTTTAGTGATAAGAAGCACACTCATTAAAAATGAAATATTTGACATATCAAGGTTGCCCAGTTCAGATAAGCTTAGCCAAGCTAATTGTGATGGATAGAGTTGTCATCTTCAAAATGCACTGTGCAGTACTGGTCCTAGAAAGGGTGATGTTTTACTGGAACAAGGAACGCACAGGTGCCACCTGGGTCAGGCTGACCTGGCTTGTAATATTATGGTCCTAAATGACATGGGAAGAGAGGCTTTGTTTTGACATATTGTTGATTAAACTGTCATAAGTTTCTGATTTAAGTGCACCAGATGTCATCATGACCTAAGAGATCGCTCTAACAGAAAATGTCATAATCATAAGTTACATTAGATGAAAGTTTGTTTTGACAGGTTGATAATTAAGAAATGATGTGTCTATGATTTAGTCATCATGATTTGCAGAGCACTGACAATGTGACCTGTAACAAAGGCTGTATAAAAAATATGCTTTAAAAGAGGTTTTCCACTGATAAGATAAAAATAATTGGTTTTACCCGAAGAAAAACACCTGGAATGATGTAAACAAAGGAGGGGCTTGGGGGAGGAGTCCCCAAGCCCAATGAAATGTATAAAAGATGGCTGTTTTCACCATTTGTTCAGCTGATGCTCACCGGTGACCAGCTCCGTGTGGATGTGTTGTATTTTGCAATAAACACCCTGGACGTGGACTCAGCTGCCTCTGCCTGATTTTTGGATCTTTGTTTGAGACTTTTTCTGCTTTTTAAGAACTTTGAATTTTTATAAAACCTAGCTTCAATTTTAAGTCGTTAAGAAGAGATAAAAGACGACAGTTGTTAGACTCAAGGGTCAGCTGGCTTGCACCACAGGGGACGGTACTCTCTCCATTCCTTTTTCCTCTGTTCACCTCTGACTTCCAGGACCAGACAGAGTCCTGTCATCTGCAGAAATACTGGGATGACTGCAGTCATTGGGAAAATCAAAGATGGAGCAGAAGCTGAGGACAGAGAGCTGGTGAACTGCTTTTTGGCATGGTGTGGAAACAATAATCTGATCCTGAAGGTTAACAAAACAAGGAGATGATTGGAGTTTTCAGAAGAAAGAGTGAAGCCGTCTTCAAGAAGGGACAGAGAAGACTGGACTTGATGCTGCAGATCTTCTATCGGTCTGCTGTGGATAATCTAATGTCTTCCTCCATCATCTGCTGGGGTAACAGCATCAAAGCTAAGGACTTAACAAAGCTCAATAAGCTAATTAAAAAGGCCAGCTCTGTTCTAATCATTTCTCTAGAACCTCTGAAAATGATTTCACAAAGAACAATTCCTCATAAAGTGAACAATATTATGGACAACAGTGAGCATCCTCTTCAGAAGATTTTTCTCCAGATCCGGTGAAAGACAGGCCACTACAGAAGATCTTTCCTGCTTACAGTTGTAAACACCTACAACACCTGTTTAAAAAATGAGTTAATGCAACATTTACATTCCTTTGGGATTGTTAAAGTATCTTTGAATTTGAAGTGAATAAGTTGGTGGGGACCAGTAAACAAAGATCTAGAATTAAGCTTTCTGCATGCTGTCACCCAACCCTTTTTGGGTTCCTGGCTTTCCATAAACTGCTGAAGGACTTGGACATGTACTTTATGTTCATTGAATTTAATCTGCTTTTAAATAGTAGTTGGACGCAATAAAGTTTTTTTTTGACTAACTGATCGTATTTTAATCAAAAAACATAGATCATCAAATTAACCCCTTTTCAATTCAAAAGACATAATTCCCTTCAGTCATCAGATAAATAATTGTATGATCACAGAAGCATATATATTTATTGTTTTTAATCAAACTATCTAGGTTATTCAAGGAGGTAGGCATTTATTCTGGCTGAATTATGCATGCGATAATGTTAGTGTCAGGATCCAGAGGCTTGCCCACCAGAGGGCGCCATAGATCCTTCCTGGGAGCTTGTGCTCAGTCNACCAGAGGGCGCCATAGATCCTTCCTGGGAGCTTGTGCTCAGTCATGGCAGCTGTTCCCCATTAGCTCATTAAGAGTTTCCCTATATAAGCTGGAGGGGAACTTCACTCTGGGCCGGATTGTTTTGACCCTGTTGTGGTTAGCAAGCCCGAGCTAGCCTGCCTGTCTGACTCCCTGACTTCCCTGGAACCTGAACCTGCACCTAACCTGTTTTGTCCTCTCTGCTTTCCAGGATAATCCCTGTCTGAACTCAATAAACCTTTGGACTGTGTCTCTGCCTCTGTGTGTGTGTTCTGCATCTGGGCTAGAAATCCTGCCGATCATGACAGAATAATCCGGCCAACAGACACAGCAGACACACTCCCTTTGAATGATTTGATCCGTGAGTCACGCAGGACTCATGAGGAAACGATTCACATCCTGCAGGAACTTCTGAGCCGTCTGAAGACCCCTGGGCCCGCTCTGAGCCGTCTGGAGACCCCTGAGCCCACTTTGAGCCGTCTGGAGACCCCTGAGCCCGCTCTGAGTTGTCTGGAGACCCCTGAGCCCGCTTTGTGTCTTCCAGAGACTCCTGATTTGGAGCCACAATCGGTGGTCTCCTCTGTTCCTGATGTGGAGCCACAGTCGGTGGTCTCCTCTGTTCCTGATTTGGAGCCACAGTCGGTTGTCTCCTCTGTTCCTGATTTGGAGCCACCGTCGGTGGTCTCCCCTGTTCCTGATTCGGAACCGCAATCGGCGGCCTCCTCAGTTCCGGATTCGGAGCCGCAGTCGGCGGTTTCCTGTGTTCCTGATTCGGAGCTGCAGACGGCGGTTTCCTGTGTTCCTGATTCGGAGCCGCAGTGGACGGTCCTGTCTGAGCCTGTTGCAGAGCAGCAGAAGCTGAGGCGGCGTCCTCCTCGGAGCTTCCTGCAGAAGCGGAGGCTGCGTCCTCCTCGGTGCTTCCTGCAGAAGCGGAGACGGCGTCCTCCTCCAAGGTCCCTGCAGCTTTGGAGACTCCGGCCTCCAGAGCTTCTGCCTCAGCTGTGGTCCTACGGCCGGCCTCCTGAGACTCTGCCTTGCATCCCTGGTTCCCCCTCCGCCCACCCTGGGTGGGTTGTTTTTTGGACTCTGTTTTGTTTTCGTGCCCTCCTTCCTGGTTCCCCCTCCGCCCACCCTGGGTGGGTTGTTTTTTGTCTTTTGTGTCTCTTTTTTGGGCGTCTGGAATCTGCCCTTGAGGGGGGGTTCTGTCAGGATCCAGAGGCTTGCCCACCAGAGGGCGCCATAGATCCTTCCTGGGAGCTTGTGCTCAGTC